CTGTGCATGACCTCATATGACCTCATCCTTGGTCATATGACCTGATCACCTGACTAGGCTGAGTAAGCAAGATGTTCTAGCAGGTTCCACCACAGAGGTATAAATATAAGGCCTACTCTGCCTGGGACTGTCTCTTCAGACTTGGTCTCTTAGGATCATCCACAGGTACCTATACTGTAGATAGGTCTTAGTCATCAGGTCTACTCCACTTCCTTGTTGCCTGCTTAGACTCTTGGCACTCTTAAGTGAGCAGACTTAGTCAGCCTGTGTTGCCCTAACAATGGAGTGCATCCCAGATGCAGGGAGGATGGGGAACAGGATGCAGTGGAGGGTTGGGAGGATTGGGAACAGAACACAGTGGAGCGTCAACAAGAGGACACAACATAGGCACTTGAGGCTTGCTTTGGGGGGGTGCTGGGGTGCATGGAGGTACAAACAATACAACTGGGCAGCACCATGGGTCCCATGGCCATGGTGGTGGGCCTAGCCAAAATGACCCATTCATGTGAAATACTGATAACCAATGTATGTCTGTTGAATGATTTATCCGATCAAATAGTATGCTATTTCTGGGATGAGGGTGATAGCAGGTATTCACACTGTGATGGTGAGTGTTGTGTTTGTCTCGCATCCACGTGATAGGGATCAGTCATCATCAGGGCACGTGATTCACGCGTCGCGTTGTCCTGGCGGGGGCGTCACAATCATCTCTACACTCGTCCTCCCTCCTCATTCGCACTATAAAGTCCATCCACAGGCCATGGAAACTGTCCTAGCAAATGGATTACGTGTTACGGAGATAACAGCCAAGGGCAAGGATCGGTTGGCCGCAGCCCTGATATTTCCCACTGGTTCAAACGCTGATCCCGTGCGTTTTCCGGCAATTGCAGGATCAACAACGGCTGACCTTCTGGCACGCTCTTTGCAGCATCACCGCCCTGGCCTTGCTCACCTCATGGAACATATTTTGGCTCGAATGGTATTTGACGTGTGTCTCCTCCCTCTCTTGATTCTAACACATCACTTATGCCTTTCTAGACAGTGCGGGAAAAGTACGGAGGCCATCTCGACGCCTCGACTACGGAGATATATACTGTATTCGCCTTTGATATTTGTGGGAGGGAATCAAGCCAATTTCTCAAGGAGCTTCTTGACTGTTTTTTTGCGAAAGAAGCATCGCAAACAGAACATCTTGAACGAGGGCTTGACGACGTGGTGGACGAATATTTCTATGCCAGACGCGCCTATCGCATCCCAGACATTGCCGAAGAAATACTGGGACAGCTCCGAGGTGTCAAAGGACCCAAGGATGGGAATGAGGATACCCTCCTGGGTACTAGTCGAGACAGAGCGGTCGCTCTGGAGGTCCTCTCGGGTGAAGTGTAGATTCGACAGCAAAATTATTATCAACCCTCGAACGCGATGTTACTTCTCTACTCTGATGGTACGCTCGATTGGCACGTCATCGCTCGATTATTGACTCAATGTACACAGTTGCTGAGATGGAACAATGTAGATCAGTTATGTCAACCTGGGCGACGTCTTCGACTTGGCACAGGCATGATGCCCAATCTTTGACTCTCCTGGAATCAGGACCTGCCGTGAACACGGTAGTGAATCACTCCTTGGTGCCTCTACTGCCGGAGGCAAAAAAAGCGATGACAGCTGATGACTCCCTGCTAAGGCAGTCCCCTGCCTTTCCTTTAGCGGTGCGGCAGTACTCTAGCTGTTCCTGGCCTTGCTAATGACCATTCAGTCGATTATCGATGTCCAGTGGCTAGGACCCATCGTTCTTTATGTGTATTTTCCCTGCGCCGATGGCCTCTGCTGCCAGAGGTGTTGGCCGTGCCAACTGGAAGATCTGGCGATGCTCATCAGAACCAGACATCCCGACAGCGAAATTCGGATGCAGCTTGATAGCGGAAGCCATTATTACAGAGGGTTCACCGTGGCCCTTCCATGTAACACGAAGGACCTCTGTTTGCATTCATGTCTGGCGTCTTCGCTGTTTGACACGCTGAAGGCATGGGTTCCTAAAGGCGCCATTCGCTGCACGGGCGGAGTCCCCACACCTCCGGCCATGGACAACATGACGCAATGGATGAAGCGGAATGCAGGGCGGGTTGTCCATTCAACATCCCAACCTAAGCACAAAAGGCATTGTGAGAGGAGCCAGATGCGATGCATCTCGGAATTCCTTGCCCTCGAGAAGTCCGTCCAGTTCTATTTTTCACCCCCTGCCGACGAGATGGATCCAATGAAGAACATTGTCCAATTCACTGTCAGTGGACCCACTGGAACGACGGGGAACATGGCCCTCCAGACCCGCGTGCGTAAACTATTTCTTGCCCATCGTGTTGCTCATGCAGACGTACAGGGCGGCACCTCATTGGGTCAGTTTAAGAAAGTCGCTCTGGAGCTCATCAAGTCTCGCGCTGAATCGGCTGAAGAAAGGGAAGTCTTTCCTTCTATTTGTCAATCCCTCCATCGCAATATATACCTAATGGTGTCCGAAGTCGTCCAGCCAGCCGCTGCCTCTCTGTGCCGGCTCTTGAAACGACTTTGCGCCGGGTACACTTGTTTTGTGCATACAATGCCAGTCCCGACAAAACGCTCAGGGAAAGGACGTGTCCTTGCTTGTCTCATGACCCTTGCGACCAAGAGCCGCAGTGCGCCGGATAGGTTATGCGCCTTGTTAAAGAGCCGTCGCGAGAGTTGCAGTCGCATGACTCCTCGAGCATGGGAGGAGATCTGCAAGCAGATCCATCACGAAACCGAGCCAGGTGTGTACTTTTCACTGTATGGTACATGGTGGAAAAGTGACGTAGGCTTATAGGCCCAGATATCAAGGATGCTGAGCACTTCTTCCGGGTCTTATCAGACTTATGCAATAACATTGTGGAGCAACCGCGAGAACGCCAACCACTTTCCAGCCTCGATGCAAATTCCCTTCGCGGAGACCGTTGACGTTAGCTGGACATCAGCAAATGTTAGAGTTCTATGCTGTAGATCTCTACACGCGCTTGTTCCTGTAACGTTTACTTGTTGCTTAGCTTCGATCATTCCGGTCCCGTGCACTTCTATCGAGATACGTAGTACTGCCGGTATTCCATTCAGTTGTCTCCTGGTTCAGTATATTGATACTAGTGCTGCGGGTGGGCGGAGGCGGAATTCTTGCCGTCTAGAGGTGATTCAGACTATCGAGGCGGGTGAGCAAGTAATATGATAGTGCAAGAAGAAGGTACATGGTGCTTTGCCTCTTCCGCTACCTTATCGCGAAGACGTACTATCTCGTCCTCCTCCGGCAGAATAAAATACGGGTTATCGAGGGCCCACTGGATCTGGCGAAGGAATTGGCGATGTGTTCTTCGACCATCGCTGGGATCAAGTCTGCCCAGGACTTTGGTAGGTGGTCCGCAAACACTCTCATACAAGCGTATTGGAACCAATCAGGATAAAACCCTGCCCTGCCCCAGTCGACCAGCCAGATCTGGTCCACTGCGTCGACTCTGACATTGCGCAAGTTGATGTCTCCGTGAGTAAAGAAAAGAGGCGTAGAGTGGTCCAAGGGTGGCACTGGGATGGTTGGTCGGTCTCGATGCCACGCCATTCCAATAACATCAACAATAAGGCGCTTCTTCTGGTACCATTGCCCTAGCTCCTGAGCGTTGTTGAACGCCCGCGGGACTCTCGTCTTCGAACGGCATGCCTTGACACAGCCAGGCTTCATTGGTTCCATCGTAAGGGCCAGGAATGCTACGTCCCGGAATCCGAATTTGGCGCAGCTGGTCGACATAGCGAGCAATTTTAGCTGCCACGTCTCTCCGATTTTCTTCGTCCAGCGTTGGTCAGATCGTTTCCAGGTCAGTACCAGGGATATAGTCCATTTTGATATACAGGTACTCGGCACGGCGAAAGACCGCATAGACACGAGGCACAGGTATGTCTGTCTGCCGGGCGACAAGCCACATCATGCATGGCTCTGCTTCGGGGCGCAGAGCCGAATGCGACTCCGCGTTCGGACAGACGACGGTACGTTTGATAAGACAAGGCGAGCCTGGAACGTGATAGATGTCCGGGCGCGGATCATATGATCTTTGTGGTTTCCATCTCTGTAGAAACGATCCACGATCTCGCAATAAGTGGCCCAGTTTGGTGCTAACATTGAATGGCAACAGGCGAGTCGGTATCAAAACTCTTGCTGTGCGAACAGAGAACAGGAAAGCGACGAGTATGGTGATGGCTGAGAATTGGTCAACAAGAAACCTACGGAAAACAGAGTAGGCTATGCGCACGCTTGTGAATAGGAAGCAGTGGCTGTGCACCGGTTATCGCCGCGGAGTTGTCAGTCCTTGGCTTCTTAACCTCTCTCGTGTCTTCCTCGACCATGGCGATATATGTCATCACTCTACCCTCCCTTTCCCTCTTATACCCTTCTGTGTGCACCTAGCCCAGTCACATTGTCAGGGCTATATCTTTCCCATACCTCTGTCCATATCATGACCAACTCGATCGAACACAAACCCATCACAGCTGTCCTGAACTATTGCACCCCGTCACAGTCGTTTGGTCCTTCGGAGCGTCCACTTCGCGTTAGCCATTTGGATGGCTTCCACACTCTTTCTCCTGCTCACGGACGCCTTGTGACCCACAGTATGCATATGAACCTCCCCCCGCAGGGAGGCCTGAAACCAACGAGGCTCTCGAGGCTCAACTGATGCCCGTAAGTCCATTTGCTTAAAGTGCTCTGGTAGTCAAGTGGTTTAACCCACGTGTTAGATACACGACGTTCGCGGGAGAAAGGATATCGGTCTTGATATGAGCGGCTTTGCGGTTCTGGAAGCCATTCCAGATCATCACCCCAGCGTATACGAGGACGAGAACTGGATCAAGACGCACTAGTATGAGGAGATATCCGGGTGGGCTCCCGGAGCAATATGAGCCTCGACCGATCGCTGACTGGCTACTTAATATCGCAGAATGCTGAAGGAGCGCCTGGGCGCCGTTCGTGTGGTCATGTCAGTTCTCATACCACGTACTTGACATTGTCCGCAAGGCTCGTTCTTTCTATTCCATCCCGTTCAAGATTCGATCATACAATCCGTCGTCGCGAGAAGGAAACGGAAGGGAAGCCGGACAAGCGCGGACGTGTCAGTGTTGCACTGCTTGGAACTATCTCGCACTCGTCTGACTCAATCTGTGCCTTTCCTTTTCCCGTCGACGAACAACCGATAGCGTCAGCCCGTCTATCGTGGTAAGCCCTTCCCCTGATACCCCTCCCCAGCACGGGATAATGTTCCTGACTCTGTAGTTCACGTCGATCAAACGCCGCAATCCGGGTACGAGCGCATATTCCGCCACCTCTCGCCCGCAGATGCAGAAAGTCTATCGCTCGGTCGTGTGCAGATCATCAACGTCTGGAGTCCCATCCGGGGTCCCGTACGGGACGCACCGCTGGCAGTGTGTCACGCCAGGAGTGTCGCTCCGGGTGATTTGGTCCACCAACGGTTGATATATCAAGACCGGTTCGTTCACGGCTCACTGTCAAGGCGTTTGTCTTCACTGTACCCTACAGCGAAAGCTCCACGTACCTTGTTCAACACAACCCTGTACATGAATGGTACTATCTGTCGAACATGAGCTCTGATGAAGCGCTGCTGATCAAAGTTTGTTGTTTTACCACCGGTGGTAGAGGAATCTGACGAGCTGATGCCAGTGTTACGACAATAAATACCCTCATTCGGTGACGCCTCACACAGGGTACATCCGTCCCACTTTACGGCAATTCAAAGTCTGACGCACGCATTTGCCCAGATTTGTCGTCGCTGATACTGAATCAGCTCTCCCGCGCCAAAGCATCGAAGTACGTTGTTTGGTGTTTTTCGACGATGACACGAACAAGATGGAGGTGATGGGGACGGAGTACTAGCGAACGATAGAGCAAGCCTGTCGGCCCTTTGCGCATGGGTCGGTCGCCGGCTTCTACAGTCGTTCACATCGCTTTCATTTTGTATCAAACACCTCGTCTTAAATCACATTATCGTGAACCGCGTGCCTCCCGGTTTGACAAACTACAGTCTGGACGAATGCACAGGTACAATGGATAGCTTAGAGCATACGTACCAACCTGTCCTCTCAACATGTGATACAAACGCTTTGACTGGAGGCACAGACCTGGGCCCAGCGTCCTGCTCGGTGAGCAAGTCAAGAACAACCGGTGCCACGCCAAACCGATCCTCTTGGGTGTGGGAGCCCCCAAACAATCCCCGCTTCGGGAAGACGTCCGCCTGCCCTCACCTTTCTCCGAGCGACGTCCTTTTGGGACTAGGGCTCGGGTTGGGACTGGACCTTCCTCCCAGTGACCTGTTAAAGTAATGACAAGCTGTGTTCTCGTGCTTCGCCGGGAGGACTTGGGTTTCTCGTTCGGGGAGGAGATGGAGGGTATAACTTCAACTGGTGGGGCTGCGGGGTGTTTTACGTATCCCTTGAAATCCCGTTTGCTACAGACAGATCCATCAATCAACCATACACAGAGGAAGGAAATCCAACGCACCCTTCCTGACCCGGTTCCCCTGCACCTCTCTCGCCGACACCCGGATCTCAGGCTTCGACAGCGCATCATACAGGCTCGTCTTGACTCCCAGTCCGTTGCTCCAGAGCGCCTCTAAGTCTCTTCCATCCTAAGCTCTCGTGTGTCCTCTGTGCAAGAATCGATCACATGGTTCCCTTTCGCAGATATCAGGTTCGGTTGATAAAGATTCCACCATGGCTCCTGCTTCCATGCTGTTGCCGTACCGTTGTGCTCCCAGTCTCCTTGTCCACATCGCCGGAAAGGACATACGCCCATACCTGAGCCTACAAAATCTTGTGCCAATCGTTTGAGCCTATACACGTCCAGACCCATGTTGATGAGCATATCGGGCCCGCGGGCCAGCTCCTGTACTTGGATGTTCCCAATCTCGTCGCATAGGGCATGTGGGTACGTTGTGGGAGGGGGCGTGCAGGGCGTAATACACAGAATCTGACCTTTCTAATGAGCGATTAGCATATAGATGCACTTCAGAGGAAGGGCGTACACAAGGAGAGGCAGGCTAGGGAAGGAGGAGCTCGTTTGCAGCCCAACATTCTGACCTAGAGGTGGACGTGAGGGTCGTCCCTGTTATCTCCTTCCTACCACTTTTACGTCAACCAACGAAGATGCGTTCAACGACCACAGCCAACTATATCGTCTAAGGAATACGCCCTGTAGATCCGAACAGCGATACAGGCTATAGTCAAGAAAGTAAATGACAGTGATGGAGAGCGTACAAGAGTAAAGTCAGTGCGTCCTTAGTCTTGCTCTCACCGCACTCCTCAACGCAGAACAGCCGCCTTCGATCTGATGCTCCAGACGCACCCATCCACCCCATGCACGCATCCCTTTTCCTCAACGACCGAGAGAGACGGTGTCGGGCGGGTTGTATGCGCTCTTGATGCGGTGCGATTTAGGTTAACAGTCCATCGTCCACCGTGCGTTTCTAGCCTCCTCGTGTGTCGAAATTAACCTAACGACCCGTATTCAGTCCTGCCGATACAACTCTTATGGACTCGTATACCAATACTACACTATGCCCGCTCAAC